TCTTTTAGTCTATGCTGTCCTTCGTCTGATGCGTCGTTGACTTTCTTCTTATCTTTGTCTCACGCTTGGTCCATTTCTTCACGTTGTACTGGAGGTTGTTCTTGACACACCACCATATGATATTTGACTCATAGTCGTTTGGTGCACCTATTGTACTTTGTCTATTCAATTGGCTTGAATTGTCTAGTTCTCATGATGTGCCTTGCCTTAAATGTTCTTTTGACAGAGTTGAGCATCTGGCTTCTTTTAATGTTCGACACCGCTTTCCTTGTTCCAGGTTTGGTCTTGCTTTGGCTTTTCTTCTAATACTCCAATGTCTCTTTCAGTAGTAGTCCTCATCTGATGTTTGTTGAATGTTCTTCCGTCCTTGAGCAGACCTCGTTTTGATGCTTGACTAACCATCATCTAATTCTTTTGTTTAGTTTGCACAGGCTCCGTTGATTCTTGATTTAATGCATCTAATCTTGCATTAAATGTTTACTTGTTGAATCTGTGTTTCACGGAGTCTTTTTGTACTATTTATTTGCTTCTATATCTCGCATTAATCATGACCTAGATATCTCTGTACTTTCCTGGTGTTGTAGCTACAAATACATTGTCCTTTGGTGACTGGTAGGTGTACTAGCTCTGACACATGCGGCTTTGATTTATGGATAAGAACTAGTCTTACTTTTCTCTTCTCTCTTCTTCTATTTTGATGACTTCATGTGTTATTCTCAGAGTGTGGATGCTAGGTAGTCCTTCTCGTTGTGACTTCAGACGCAATCCATCCTTCTTGGTTTTTGTCTATGCATTTGAGTCTCTGTCTGGTCATCTTGTCCTCGTCCATGGTCTTGTATCATCTGAGGCTTTATTATTTTCCTTCTTGTGTTGAGTTTGATTTTGCATGATCTCCTCATCTGTCGTCTTGTTAGCTTTTGCTCTTCATCATGGTTTCTCGTGCTCTTGTCCTTATTTCCTTTGTGTCTGTGTTTGTGGGTGTCTTCATCTGATGTATTCCCTTTATTTGATCAGCCTTTATCCAGTGCTTAGCTAATATCTCTTGGTTTTGGTGTGGACGGTAATACATGCATATTCTCTGATAGACCATGGGCCAAGGGCCCAATTACCAGAGCTAT